GGAAGGTAAGAGGTCACTACGTGGACAGAAACTAACTGGTGCAGAGAAGATAAGCCTCCAAGATCCCTATATCACTATTACACTAGATACAGCACTTCCTGAAAGAAGTAAACTCGTCCAACCTGAGTAGCTGAACTATGCTTCCGAACCCTCAGCCGGTAAGGGACAAAATGCGGAGAAAGCGACAGTGTTAACAAGCGGGATTTCCAACTTTCGCCATGGCCGACCCCGACTAATTGAAGGCCGACTATGCCATAGTGAGAAACGAGCAACGTCTGACGACTGTGACGTTTGCACCGTGTCAGTGTCAGTGGCAACATGCAACGTTAACCCAAAATGGGCACACTGTTACTGGGACCAGAGTATACCAGATTACATTTACTACTTTGTGACAAAGCATCAATGTAAGTGAATGCTGTACATTTGTCCGGAATGTCGGGAGATACCCTCTGTTACCGTCAACAAACTAAGAAACTTGGCATGCACCAAGATCTTACGGGATACGAGCCCATAAAATCCACCCACAAATGTTCAGAAGCATCACCCTTCATCTTAGGGATCTATCACTTTCCACCTCATGTGAAGTATTTACGAAGTCTTTATCTCTTATATCGAAATGGCCTACAAGAACAAAAGAAAAAGAGAGACCTGAGGATGCAGGTTGAAACGCGGACAAATAGACGAAAGGACAAGAGACAGAGTAGATCAAAACCGTTGGCCGCTAAACCCAGCACCCTGCACACACAGAACAAGACAACAGACTCCATCATTTTTTTCAATGTAACAACACCAACGGACTCATTCTTAGAAGAATGAGGGCAGTGTGACACGAAGAAGTCGGATGGCCACCTTAAAAAACCAGGGACAGAACCCACTGCAGTTGACTTACGACGACACTCCCGAGAAAGTGGAGCTTTATGAGACCATTTGTCATGCTGTTGGGTGTCATCCATGATAGCAAAACAGCCGGAGAACATGCCACTTCTGCCGACCGGATCAGACATCGGGGGCCCTCGTGCCATATGGACAAAGCAGAATAAGCCATGGATCATCGGGATGGCGGAAGGGAAAGCTACTTCTGATGATCTATGCAAAGCTGAGACAAAGGTGTGCATGGCATACGCGAACTGGTGGGAGGATCCATGATTTGTGATCACCAGCTACATGGTGTCGAGCAGTGAAGGTAGCTAGTGGCAAAGAGAGGGCTAAAAGGCTTATCGGCCAGAAGCGAATTAAGACTATTAAGACCTACTCACTCATGGGGCATCTCTCCGCCCAGGCTCCTAGCAGTATGCTTCGACTGTAGGAAATCCCTTACAGAGGCTCTTACAGCATAGTATTTAGAAAGAGATTAAACTGGAGGTGCCAAACGATGCTATGAAAGGTAACCGTTATCGGCTGGGCCGGAAGATGGTAGGGAACCTACAAGAACGGCACTGACAGTGATAGTCGCAGAAGTTTCATCTAGCGAAATAATGCCTGCAGACTTAGCGACAAATGATTCTGTCACACAAACATCAGGATGCCAGAAACGACAGGAAACCGAAGGATTGCCAGTCTGGTAGGGGTTGATAACTAGTATCTGATGCAAAAACACAATAACTTCCACACAAGTCATAGTGCCGCACTACGCCCGGAACATAGCTCCTGGGCATGCCTTGACAGTAATGTAAGAGGTCTTAGAAATAAATCACTGAATCTAAGAACTATGTGATTTCATCTACAAGCAGGTACCATATCTATTATGGAGACGTAGCTCTCCCCAAACATCTTGGACCGGGCGATCTCCGTACCTAACGTGACCTTATTCCCAAAGGACAGGGGGTTCAAAGAAGAAAGAAAAGCGGCCAGTGGCACCAGAACCCACGTGAAAGCCAAGAAGGCGACTGATAACGTACTTATCCAATCACCAAACTCTTTGTGATACCACTTCACCATAAACCAGACAAAGAACCCACTAGGAGTGGTGCACGGTTCCCCGCTATGCAGAACAAGACACAAGGAACAAATACTCATCGATTTTTCGACATCTACTGCAACAGCTCATGACCTCGTCGCCATCGACGGAGACTTCAACGCATTAGCGCTTAACACGAAATGGGGAGGAAGTTGAAGATGTAAACCTTCAAAAGGAAGACTTCGAAATACATCTATGGCAGCAACACTAACAGAAAAAGTTTGGGAAAACGCTCAATAAGGACCAAATGGAAAGGACCACAACTTGACAACATCCCAACAGACGACGATCGTTTGGTGCACGTTATATGTGTCCAACCCTTCCCCTAGGCAACGGTGATCATTCACTGATGTTCTCTTTGATGACCAAGGAAGAACTACCAACAGTTGAACAGAAAGCCTTCCGCTCTCATCAAGAGGGAGACTACTAGCTCATGAAGAATGAACTAAACGCACTGTGACCACAGACGTGACACTCTCTGTCGACGGACAAATAATGGATACTTATTAGAGATCTTTTCGGCAGCTCTATCGAAAGGAGTGTTCCGAAACTAAGTAGATGAACACCTCTCAAACGCTCTTGGATTACTTGCGCAACGTAAAGGGAAATAGGGAAGAAAAAGAGGGATGGTGTAAGTGGCGTACATCTCATGAGAAATCGGACTTTCCTAGATATAAGAAGTTAATAATGATGGTAATTTTTATTCCTGAATACACAGACAATGTTTACAGGCATGAGCAAGTCACTATATAAATCACATGTGTCTTTATGGCAGGTAATCACAGTCCCCATTTATTCTGTCACTAGAAGACATGAGTGATATGTGTTCGTATAATGGAACAGGATATGTGTACAAAACTTTACAAGTTGGACAAGTTACGAAACCTATGCTCGCAATAACGGGCTTAAGTACGAGATTAACCTGGCCAAAAAGCCAAACTACAGCCCAAGAAGCCTATATCGGTTTATGTCACAGCGAAAATTGAAAAATAAGGGTTTGCTGCTGATTAGAGAGGCGAACGGGGAGCCCCTGAATAGCGGACCAAGTGTCTCCAAGGCTTTCAAGACTCAGACTAAGGAAACCTTCTGGTTGTTACGACTTAAGACCACTGGTCTTACGGAATTGTGTCGAAGTGTCAAGCGTACTCATATGCGACCAGTTATCCCAGTCGTTGGAGTTAAGTAAACTCTCCAAAGAATGGAAGTGTGCTTTCTTTTCACCAGTCTTCAAGTGACGAGACAGAGAAAACCCTTGCAATGATGGATGGATAACATCTATCCCAATACTATCCAAGGCACTAGAGGGCCTGGTTGCAGATATTGCATAAGACTCCCTAAACAGAGAAAACATGGTTCATCCAGCCCACGACGGCTGTTACGGTAAATCACTGAGTATCGCGTAACAAAGATATGAATGTCGGGAGTTCCAAAACAGAGAGAAATAAACTGAATCCAAAACAAGTGGTTGAGAAACAACGAATGTAAGTAAAAGGTGTAAGTGAACTCTGTTCTTTGCGGCAACTATGTACACGAAATTTAGTTAACGACCTTCGATTTTAATGACTACTGTAGTTTCTGGCCCAAACAAAATGCGCTGGTGACACTAATCGAAGCGAGAACTTCGATATGGTTACGCAAACAAATTGAATGAAGTCAACCGAAGTGGATGGTCGATGCTTTTGAATACGTCATAAGAACGAAGTCAAAAAATATGCAATAGCGGCTTCAAAACTGGAGTTTCATGTGTCACAAATTTCATGACCGCTTGGGATGATTGTACAAGTGGACAGGACGCCAAGAAAGGAGTTCACGTTTTCTACCTGGACTTGGTCAAAGCTGTCGATAGCGTGCCCACCACAGCATGCTCGCAGCACTTTCAAAAATGAGTACCACCGAACTGCTGTTAGCAAGGTTTGCGCTAATATAGAGGTCAGAGAACTCCGCAATAATGCAAGCCGAGCTACGTTGATCTGCATGAGTGCAAGAAAATAAGTTTTCCAAGATACACCATCAACAAGTGACCTGTCATCAGCGAGTCTACAGAGTAAATTTCCCTGACACAATGCATATTTGGGCAAACTTTCAGGGAATGGCGACAAAGGTCAACGCTATCATGCACCTTGGAACAAGGCAGATTGCAACCCTTATCCCTGAATTGTTCCTCATGGCACTTAAAACTTACATTGGCCCACAATTAGAGGTGTTCAATACGATACCTCCTCCTCTACTAAGGAGACATGCAAGCACTTCCGAGAATGTGAAGAGAAGGCCAACAACATCAGTTGTCCGACTAACAGACAAAACATATCCACAACACCTTAGACAACTCAACTAGTTCATCTGGAGCTGTCGAAAGAAAATAGGCCACCCAATAACAGCATACAAGATCATCCACTAAGCAGACCACTCCAACAGGAAAACATTATGGGTCACAAAACCAACAGTCTCATGAGAACCAACTCACAAACCCCATCAGAGGTCAAAGATGGGAATGAGATCTAACATCACTTCCTACTGAGTATGTGCCTTATGGCACGGTGTGCCGGAGGAAGTAGCCACAGGTACGCCACTTGACTCCTTCAAACGGCTCCTAAATAAGTACGCGAGTGCAAACAGCTTATCACCAACATTCACCGGTAGCAACCGAACGTATGCCCATCCATCCCTGCATTACTCGACCATAGTATCTGCAATATGATCTATCCCTTCTCCATGCTTTCCATATTTTCCCATGAGTACTCTCCACTCTTCTTTTCTCATTCCCTGCTATCCCTATTTCTCGTACTACCTTGTAGATAACACCTAATGATTATTTGCAGGTGCATACAACAACAGGAATTGGAAAAGTCTAATTGATTTTATCAGCAGCTCTGTTTCTTCGCGAAACAAAGCTAAAATTTGCAAAAGAAGACCTTTAAATAGATAATCTTTATAAGCGGGTGAACTATAAAGACTTCTAAAATCATCAATGGGATATCATCAGACAAAAAGTCGGGCCTCAAGAGAGAGAAGAGAGAGATAGAAAATTACAAGTTTCATGTTCCGGGACCATTGAAGTTAAATATTGAATACATTGTATTTCATATCCCGCCAACAGAGTTGTGCGTCGTCACCGCGGCAACCTGTTAATTATTTGTTATACCTGAGAGAATGGTAAGTGGTCTTGTTTTGCTAAGTTCCTCTGGATGTTATCAGCTGTATGTGATAATTAGACTGAAGTATTGAATTTTTCGCTTGTTTGTATTATGCGCATTCAGCAAGTAGTTCGTAGTAGATAAAAATAACTGATAATTGTTTTCCCTAGTAATAGGAATGTTGAGTTGAAAAAGAAGAAACCCATTAGTTAAATAAAGCAACAATGATAGCTAAATGCAACGGTTCCCCCATATGGTTTCAGTTATCTACCTCGTTTCTCCTGGGAGTGCAAGTTTGCACTTCTTTTCTACGCCTTTTCTCGTACCTAGCTCAACCCAATTTTCCGTTGGTTTTCACCTCCATTCTGATCGTGTTTCCCTTTATTGTTAGGTTATATTTATTCTCTCTTTCTCCCCCATAAGCTTACGCCTAGGTACTTAGTGTGTGACCCGTGGCTCACTGGTATAGGTACTTAAACTTAGGCAACCAGGAGATATCACTAACCGCCACACAATAGATATGGCTCGTAGCCTACTGCACGTCGTTGATGAATGAGTTTCTATTTTCCTAATATGAAGCCATTGATTGATCTACGTTGACATTAGACAGTCTGTCTCTGTCTGCGGCCTATGTATCTATCTTCACAGCTGCAGATTAATTGATATATGCACATAGAAGTGACAGTTTGTTTTCCACACATATTCTCTCCATTGAGCGACTGGTGTAGATAATTTAGAGAGTGAGTGCATGAATGTTCCACTAATTGTGTCAGTTTACTTCGTATATGACCACATTGACTTGAATGCAATTAACACCGACATACCGACAAAATACCTGAAAGGACTGCTGTTTATATGTACCTTTGATGTATAGCTCAGCTTCAGTAACATCTCCAGAAAGACGGTAGCAACTGCGTCCACATTGAGGTCACTGTTAGGAGATATGTTTATGTCCAAACTGCAAACCAATTATCAAGCAGTTTAAATTGTACCGAAGATATGCTTATGTTATGTTCATCGTTTGTGGCAAGAATTTTGAATATCAGACAGTACCATAGTTTTCCTATGCATGTCACTACTCAACCAAACTTTGTAGTGGAGATGGAATCACAATCAGAGATACCGTCGCTCCATGTGTCGCTAACCAGAAATTATGAGACACTTAGTCCGCTTATCAAAAATATAACTGAGAAAATTACATAGCTGAATCCTCAACGTCCAGATCTTTTTTATCCTTACCGCTTCCTCACTAGTCTCGAGGATTTGTACTTGTGATACTTCCAAAGGTGAAACTAGACCCATTGGGTAAGGGTTCATACAAAATGGATAACAATTTTCACAAGTAAATGACTGACTGACTAAGTCGATGTAGGGCGTTGCGCACAGGCGCATCACCTCAAATTGCCACACATCACAGTATTACACAAAAAACAGGTGAATAGAAAGTGATATCAAAGTAGATAAAGTTATATGAGGGAATAAACAATCTGAGGATAAAGGTTGGTGGGAATATCCATGCTTTAAAAGTTGTCAAGCTGTGGCTATATCTGTATCATTGTGATTGATGTCCGGCCATGTCACCAGGCTTTCTCGATGACCCTAGCCACATGGTCTGCATCTCCATATCTGCATGACTCAAACCAAGTTAGGGATTTCATAGACTGGTACCAGATCTTGGTCTCGCCACTCTGAACCCCCTTCCGACCTAATCCAACTTCCCTCAGAATGACGCATTGAGGCAGGTGGTGACTCAGGATGCGCAGTAAAAGTTTAAGCCATTTCAACCGATCAATCGACTCGCCTGTCTTACCTAGTACCCTTTGCCTGACCTTAACATTGCCCCTGTGGTAATTTCCTCGAACGCGAACAATGCTACGGAAACATATGTGATTAATACTGAGTAGTCGCTTCATATCTTCTGCTTTTAACGGCCATATCTCACGGTCGTATAACAGGACAGTGTGGACTGCACCGGAGTATACTCGTCCTTTTATAAATAGTCAGATATCTCCTCAGTCTGTGCCATAGGTGAGGCAAGTTGAAAAATACCAAACGGACGTTCTGTATCCCAGCTGAAATTCTGTCAGAAACCAGCCTGTTCGGGCTGATGCAACTTCTGAAGGGAAGTGGTCGATATGTCCCACCACTTCATTCCTTATTATTATACTGGGTTTTAGTTGAGAACCAGTAATCCTTGAGCATCATCTCATATTGGACAAGTACGAGACACATGCAAGCTAAACATATTTAGATTTGTGCCCAACGCATTCAGAGGACCTCAAATTGCGTCAGCATCACCTAGCAGGACAATATTGCCTTCATGCTCCAAGTCAACCAGATGACCTCCAGGCAGGGACGTCAGACGTACCTAAGGTTATGTCCATTAATACATCTATGACTAAGTTAAGTAGGAACGGTGACAGTGAGCATCCTTGGGGAGCACCTCTAGTTGTCGTCAATTCACATGAAAACTCTCCATAAGCCCTGACAAGGCTGCGTAAGTTTGGGTAGGGAGCTTTGATTAGGGCTGTATACTTGCGCGGTACTCCCTCCATAGTCAGAGATTGCCAAAACACCTCACAGTCGACTGAGTTAAATGCCACTTTCAGGTCAAGAAATATGGCAAGTATCCGCCACTTGCCGGTAAGTATGCCTGTGTTCCAGAACCTGTCGGAGGGTGAAAATGTTGTCGACTAGCTCTGTCTGAAATCTACCTGATTGTCTCGAGCTCCAGTTAGGCGTCGTATCACTATGGACTCTAGGATTCTGGACACAACATTAGCGAAACTGATTCCCCTATGATTATCTTAAAAAGCTTTCTCTTCTTGTAGGCGGATGATCAGTGAAGTGGACCAGTGTGATGGCACTACTTTTGAATCCCATACACCATCTAGTAATTCCATCACTTTAATCAGTAATTTCCTTGAAATTCTTAAAAAATTCGGGTGGCAAACTGTCAGGTCCTGCTGCTTTGGGTCGTTTCAGGTTCGATAAACCCTTCTCGAATTCGATGAGAGTTGTAGTACCGACATCTACGTCCCACTTAGGTTCAGGTTGGATGTTAGGCAACTGAAGCGTTCCTGAAGGCCAGTTAAACTGTGCTTTAAATTGTCCCCTCCAACGCTTTAGCTGTCTGTCTTGGAACGTTATCAGATCACTGTCCTTTCCCATCATGTTTTCACTACCATCGTTTTCTTCTAGTTGATATCCTTAATAAACCTAAGTAGTTGCCGGGCCTCGCCTAGTCTCATGATCCTTCTTAGTTCTCACAGATCCATTCAGTCGAACAACACGTGAATGGTTGTTGACTGGTAGCCAGTCGAGAAGCTCACTTTCTGTTGTATAACCCAATATTATCCTCACACCAGTGTGTCCATAATACCTAGCCGTTGGGTCTCCGGATAATCTTAAGGTGGACTTTAAAGATTTATTACTATATACAGGTGAGGTCAGCTTAATAACTACACTATGCTGCTGTATCTTTGTCTCAGAAACACACTACACATCTGTGGCTAAAGATTCTAGAGTTCTGGGGAGCGATGCTTGCAGTACGATTTGGCATAGAGTTCAAACGTTGAAAGCTACATGAAATCGATGGTGGGGTCTAAGGAGACTAATAAAGAGGTCTCAGTGATTTTTGGCAATAGTCACAGAATGAGAGGTTGGGGAAGGAGCTAAATATTAGTATCAGGAGGTGAAGGCGAAGGAGGAGACAGAGTTGAAAAGGAAAGGTTATGTTTGATAGGCTTTTGTGTACTACTGGGAGCGTACGGGCAGCTGACACTTCCTGTCTGCCCACACTGTGTAAAGCTAGTTCTTCTTGAGGTATCTGAGAAAGGAGGGGAAATGTGTGACCTCAGAATCCATGGGTCATCTGTTTGAGGCTGGTCACAGCCTTTTGGCAATTTTGAGATTTTGGATTTTTGTTTTTGAACCCAACTATGAATCTCTGCTGCAGACATCGGTATGCTGCGAGAAGTGAGAATGTGGTATTTTTGGGACCGATCTTTTCTAACCCCATTGGGAAGACAGTATCAGCATAGCACTGCTGGTCATTCAAGGGAAACACTTTACTACTGTGACATCCCACCCAGTCAGCAGTGCGACTTCGTCCTCAGACCCCCATCATAGTGTAGCAATTTATTCTAGACAGTAACTGCTTTTTGCCTGACAGTTATCTACCAGACATTTCTGTTATGGTAGGACCTTGAAGAAACAAGTGATCCACTAGCATTACTTATTGGGTCTTGTGATCTACAAACCCGACCACTACGTCAAAGTAGCAGGTATTGGTCGAGGTGAATGAGTTAAGCGTGACAGAAAGGCACTAAGGTGGCACTTTTGGAATCCTAGCGGGATGAACAGATGGTGTTAATCACCTGCTAAGAATGTGCTCTGACAACCACTTCTTTATGAACAATGCAAACTTTAGATATAAAGAGAGATATTGTCAGATGTGGTATCTGCCGACTTCAACGGTGGACATTGATAGACTATATTACTATTATTTATTGCTGGGAAGGATCAGCAAAGAATTGTCGCTGTACTCGAAGCGCGTGCTTGGGCAGTGATCAGTCAATGACTCAAGCACACCTCCGTCACTCGCAAATGGATGTACAAAAACTACAGCTGCAAGACTATTCCGAGAGCTTCTGGATCATTAGAAAACAGATTACTTCCAACGAGGAACTGACTAGACAGCTATCGAAACAGGGCAATGTCTTCCATTCTGAGGAAATCAGGTGCCATCTCCAGTCTTGTATAAACAGCGTTTAAGACTATAGCTGACTCTCAGAGAGTGGTTATGAAGGGACAGTGCATCTCAGCAGCCTCTGGATTGATGGATGCATGTAAACTCATTCCTGCAGGCTTTAAGCACAATGAAGAATGGACGCAACTCAAATATAGGTTAACAAAAAGTCTACACAATGACCACGAGCGGTGTGGGTGGTTAACACCAAGGAAACGGAAATCACAGTGTCAATAGTCAACAGTAGATAGTTATTTAGAATGATAAAC